GAATTTGGAGTATGTTGGGGGGCTGAGTGACCTCAGAATGACCTATAAATATTATTTTAATATCTAAAAAACCGAAGCAGCACAAACGAAACTTTTACCTGCACAAACCAGCACAAACGAAGCACAAACAAAAGAGACTACTTGGGGTGAATTTGGAGTATGTTGGGGGGCTGAGTGACCTCAGAATGACCTATAAATATTATTTTAATATCTAAAAAACCGAAGCAGCACAAACAAAAATTTTTACAGCACAAACGGAGCACAAACGATTGAGACTATTTTGCCGACGTTTTGCGTTGGGGGGGGGGCCAACTTCACGGAGGAATCGAGGATGGATCATTTCGACGAACTTGATGAACCTGTGATATCTTCTTCAGGGCGAAAAAGGAAAATAAAAGCTGAAATGTTTTCACGGAACCTTGCAAAAGCAGCGCGTTACAATGGTGAGGGAAAAGCTCCGTGTATTGCGTGTAATCACATCCATACAGTTTATGATCACAACAACGTTTGTCCGGCATCTACATTCGAGGAGATTACAAAGATTAAACGAGTGTTTTTTTTAAACTATAAAACACGAAATGTGCAGTTATCTGCTTTTGCTATAAAACAAACTTTTAATATGTAAAAAAAAAAATTCATTTTGTAAATTACCTGTATTTGTTTAAGTTATTATTACTTAATCAAAACAAACCAACTGCAGTTTTATTGATATTAACTTACTTGGAATGTGCAATAAAAAGTGATTTCTGGAAAAATAAATGGGATTTATCGCTTTTTGCAAATGAACTCTTCATATATAGCTGGGTAAATCTCACAATGAAAGAAAAAGAACGAATATAAAAAATATATTTTGCATGAATAAAATTAAGCCCAATTTATGAACTACTGTTAATATTATTATTTGTAATTAAGTCTTAGTGACGTTGCACTTTATGTAGTTATGTTATGATGAATAACAGCACATATCACTCAGTTTTTAGTTTAAATATGAAAATATAAAAAAGATCAAAACATTCTTAATATACATTCATGTTAAAATGCTTTAATAGAATGTACTAAAATGAATACTAAAATATAAAAAGTTTCTTTTGAGATCTCTTTCTGGCTCAGGTGTCTTTTAAATTCCCTCTTCTGCAAACGAATCCTCCAACGACAGAGCAACCGGATACAGTTATTTTGCAGGCTTGCTCTGCTTCAAGTCTAGTTCTAGGCTGCACTCCTCTGACTTTGGTGTCGCTTCTTCCAAAACACCTGCTGGACAGTCTCGTAAATCTCATGATAGCGCAGGATGTACAGGTAAGGAGTGCAACAGCGTGGGAACAACATCAAAACGCACATGTTCACCAAGTTAATCCACACTCCCACAACATCTACGCTTTCTTCCTTTAAAAGAGCCAGCTCCACGGCAAAGACCAACGCGGGTACAAAATACATCATGAGCAACAGAGTGTGCGCCAGAAGTGTCATACGCGCCCGGGAGTACCGACTACGCCATATCCCAGAAGTTTTAGTGATGATGTAGAGATGGATATAACAGTACACAATGAGAACAGTGCAGAGGCTGATGGCAATGATGAAGTACAAATGAACGCCAACCTTCATCTTCTGTTCCAACGAGTGCAGCGCAATCAACATCAAACACACTGGACGGCTCTGCTTGTCACTGCCCATCACCACCTCAAACATCACTAGCAAAGAGACGGGACACACTGCGGCCATTACCCACAAGCTCATGATTATCTTCCTGGCCCGAGATGGTGGGAGAATCTCTTTGTAACGTAATGGCCAACGTACTGCCACATATGTGTCGATAACCATCAATGTGATAGTGAGCACAGACGTGCTGTATGTCATTACCATGCTCACCATCATAAACTCGCACAACGAGTGGGGCATGTGCAGGCCCACAGAGTTGCAGGAGACCATCGCAAGATTTATGGTGAGGAAGAACATATCGGCGAAGAGCATGTTAGCAAGAAGTAGGTAGCGGGTCTCTTGACGTAGCGTAGGAAAACACAGTATGCAGAGGGACAGAACGGGGTTGACCAGCAGTGTGACAGAGGTCAGCAGAACCGTAGGGATGAGGAACAGATCCATGTGTCTGCTCTCCGCTTTGTTGTACCAATCCACCGAGATGTTAACAATGAAAGACTGAGTCATATTTGGAGTTTAGCACCACACTGCTGAGAGAAAGCTTTGGGCTGAAGAACAACAGCTCCTCTGTTTACTGAGACGGCTTCTCTACCTACAGAAAAGAGAAGAAACATAAGTACAGACGTATACACAATATGATCTGTAAACTTTGGATGAGGCTTTAAAAAAATCAAACACATTCATTTTGCACTACACAGTTTTTTGTCCAATTAAATGCTCTATAGAATTAGAATGTCCTTCCTCCGAATATAACTGGCAACTGACATGACAGTTTTTTTTTTTTTTAAGGAACTGTCACTTCAATATGTACCGGCTAAAAGTCAACAGAGTAAGAACAATTTCTTGGAGCCTTTTCATTTTAGGTGAACTATCCCTTTAAATTGTTATAATGACCTGAACAAATCTTTACAGATTACAATTTCTTCAAAAATAATGACTGATAAATGTTACATAAATAAATGATACCATCATTCCTTTTTAAATTTTTGTTTAAAACCATCAAACATTCACAAAGCATTTTCCCTCCCAATACACAATTTGACTAAAAACAAAGTCATTTTTTGTAAATCATTTTAACCCCCGAAAAGAGAATAAAAGCAAATAGACTACACACTGTCCCTATAGTTATAATGGAAAGTTAATGTTACCAATAATACTACATAAAAAAGGAAAGAAAAAAATATCAATAGTTGTTAAGAAGTATGAAAATATGTGAGTCCGCATGTTTTCAAGAAAACATTCCGTCACAAATCCAAGGGTTAATAGTGATGAATATGATATAAAAAATACTTTTGAGGGAAATTGAATGAGCTTAATATACTTCCAAATATACAAATTTCAACCACAAATGCCAGTAGCATGTTTGACAAGCAAGAAAAATCAATGCAAATAATGTGCTTGTTTGTTGTACTGTTGATAAAAACTCTTAATAATAAATACACAAATGGTACGTACTGTAGTTCCAACTGAACAAAACACTATTGTAAATTTCAGCCCCGTTTTATCGACAAACAGTTCAAAGAGGAAGAATGCAATATGAACGCATGGACTAACAATCGATTAATCGTGTTAAAATGACTCACATACCTGTTCCACTCATCCACATGTGCAGTAACTCCTGCTTCCATCCAGGCCTCCATTAAAATAATGTCGCCCCAGATCAATACCTTCCAACTCTGTCCTCGTTATCAGAGAGCAGGCGTTCCACTGATGCGCACAGATCCGTAAACGATCGCACGGCACTAACACTCTTTCAGCTCTCCTTGGTTACTCAGCATTTGGTGTAAATTATGCTGACCCTCCCCATGACAGGCCGTTGAGATAAACTAACACTAACACCATTATTACCTCAATGTCCCTCGACACTACTATGCACCTCATATCCGGAGGTAAAAGCTTATAAAGCAATAAATGAGATGGAGGATTAAACAAACAAATAATATAAAAAAATTTTGGCATGACCACCAGCCTGTAAACAGTAGTGCTTTGCATATGTTAGGTCTTTTATGCAAAACATGAGATGCTACCATCATATATCCCAAAAAAAAATCATTATGTAATTTTGCTGAATGAAGTAGTTTTTATTCATTTTGAATATTTAATACAATATGCCTCATTTCCTGTCCTTCTTGTAACCAGTGTTCCAGTGACACTTTCTCCTGTGCAGTCCGTTATCATCATCATCATCATCTTTATCCTCCTCATCCTCATCACTGCTGTATTCATCCTCCCTCCCTTTTTCCTCCTGCTCTCTTGCCATCAGCTTGCGAAAAACATGGAACTCCTCTGCAGTTGCCATGGCGACCTGCGTCAGGTAGGTTTCCTCAGAGACGCAGAGGACGTCTTTGAGCGGTGGGTTGAGGATGAGCGTTTGGCCCTTCTTGTCTGGCGTCTGGTAGAGTCCCCTCCGCTCCAGAAAACAGTGACGACAGCGCAGCTCGGACAGAGGCAACCTGAACAGCTTTGCCTTTACCATCTCTGGCTGCCGCACGCCCATACGGAAATACACATACTGCGGGGAGAAAACAAGCTGTGCGTCAGTTTGAAACTACTGTAAAACACTAACTGCCCTTTAAAGGCACAATATGTAATTTTCGCCGCTAGAGGGCGCGTATTCAAAATAAACAAATAGACAAAGGCGTAGTTTGATGACGCAGTGACTGAGTGTGGAATCATGGGAGTTGTCATCTTCATCCCCACAGCCGACGCAATCCGACGGGACTCGGGCAGAAATCATGTTCATGGATGAGCTAATGATTTGTTAACGTAGTAGAATGAAGCAGGGTGAGGCTGAAAGCCGTCGAAGCGAAACGAGGCCGCTGAACGAGCGTGACACACGCCTCGAAAGCAGTGGAGCTTTTATTATGCCACAGTCGACCGCTTCCGCTCCTTCCGGTCGTGCGTATGCAGGGAAAAAAAATCAGCGCTGTTTTATCATACTAGATACGTTTGAAAGTTCTGTTATTGTGCTACTTTGTGCGGTCATCACCGGTCTAATAAAATGCACAACATATTAAAGCGTCTTTGGTGTTTCCATGTTTTCTACAAAACAAAACCGGAAATCGAGGGGTTATGACGTCATTGGCAGGCGACACAATGACACTATGGAAACGGTCCGTGTCACTAGTTAAAATTGCTTATTTCTCTGGATTTAAACATTCTTCAAAACATTTGGGATAATGTAAGTACACAAGTCAGCAAAATATATAACACTGTTCTAGTGGTTTTTGGATATTTTAATAAAAAAATCTTACATATTGTGCCTTTAAATGGCAACTTCAGTGATCCAAAATGGCTCACACAACAGCGAAACGTCATCAGAACAGCATTTACACAGACAGTTTACCCCCAAATTTTGTACTGTCATCAGAGCCAGGAAAACTTTTAGTGAAAAATACCAGCCCTACCTGAAATTTGTACTCCAGCTGAGCCAAATCCTCCTCCAGAACCTCAGGCGAGTCTCTGAGGATGTCTGTGACCTGATGGATGGTGAAGAGGCATTTCTCTCTGAGCAGTCGGGGCACCATGTTTACCCTCTTGACTGGCAGGAGCATGACCTTGGGGTAGTGACTGATCATCCTCTGCAGACTACCTGTGGACAGATTTCATACAACTCTCCATCAGTGGCTTTCAAACTGGGGTCTATGGACACCCGGCGGAGCACTAGAGGGTCCATGGAAAATTTCAGAGAGGGGGAACAGTGAGGGGGAAAAGAACAACTACAACAAAAATCTGCATATAATTTCAAAAAAAGAAAAAAGCTTTTATTAGGGCTGTCAAATCGATTAATCGCATCCAAAATAAACGTTTGTGTTTATATGATATGTGTGTATATTTATATGTATATATAAATACACACTCATACATGTATATATTTAAGAAATATATGTAATAAATATAATGTAAATATTTCTATACAGTACAGAATTTATATACAGTATACACACATATAATGTAAACATGAACTTTTATTTTGCATGCACTTAGTTGCGATTAATCGATTTGACAGCCCTAATTTTTATTTATCTTCTCTCATTACTTGCAAACATATGTTCAAATAGCTTGTTACATTCTTTTTTTGTAAAACTGCTTTGTAACAATATTTATTATAAAAAGTTCTACACCAATAGATTTTAGTTGAATTAAAATATGTTTATCTTATATTACTAACGTTAATATTTTCCAAATAATGTTTAAATAATTTAATATACTGTACATTTACACCACTGTTCAAAGATTTGGGGTTGGCAAGATATTTTAAGCTTTAAAAAAAAAAAAAAGTCTCTCGCAATTATTTGACCAACAATACATTAAAACAGATATATTGTGAAATATTAATACCATTTAAAATAACTGTTTGCTATTTTAATATATTTTAAAATGTCATTTATTTCTGTGATGCAAATCAGAATTTCCAGATTCATTACTCCAGTCTTCAGTGTCACATGTTCCTTCAGAAATCATTCTAATATGCTGATTTGCTGCTCAAAACACATTTTCTTATTATTATCAATGTTATCAAACAAATGTGCTGCTTAGTATTTTCGTGGAAACTGAGATTTTTTTTTTCAGGATGCTTTGATGAATAGGAAGTTCGAAAGAACAGCAATTATTCAAAATAAATGTTTGTAACATTATAAATGTCTTTACTGTCACTTTTAAAGCAATGTTTGAGTAAAGCATCCTTGCTGAATAAAAATATTGAACTTCCTGTTAATAATTAGAGACTTTAAAGGGGTCATATGATGCGATTTGGAGTGTTACAAGCTCTTGGTGCATAAAGAAGATCTGTAAAGTTGCAAAGACTAAAGTCTCAAATCCAAAAAAGAAGGCGTAACTTTTATGATTCTCGCTGTAGTATTGTTGCCGCCGCTGCCATGTTGTGGAGTCGCTCTGTGTTTCGTTGTGAAAGCGAAACTACTTTGTTTGGCCTTCCAAAAGAGGACACAACTAGAAATCAGTGGTTAAGTTGTATTTACAACACTGTTCCAGAACAGTTCAACCCAAATATTCAGATGTGTGCTGCGCATTTTATGGAGGATGAGGACTGTTTCCTGAACCAGTAGCCTACAATGCGTCTGTGGCACAAAGGCTGTTTCTATAAAGTTGGGCAGTTCCAACTTTGCAAGGACAGTCTGGCGCTACTGACTCGCAGCCTGTAAGTATGTTTTTTATATTCAAATAATTTGCCAAAGATGATTCAAACGCGAGTTTTGAGCAGTGTAGAGTAGGCTTGTTGTTTGTTGTTTGTCCGATCACAAATGCAGACATGGTTTTATGTTTACGCAGCACGATACGCAACGCAACGTGTAAAAAGACAGTATAAGTCATTATAATCAGTAATTATGTCCCCACTGGATGCAACCAATGCCTCATTTGTAATGGGTTTTATTGGTTAAAATAATGTGTTTTTTTAACCTTAAACCACATAAACACATTGCATTACACCAAATACACAAAATAATGTTCTTTTTAGCAACGTCATATGACCCCTTTAAAAAGATTGT